TTCTTCAGAAATGATTTCTGAAGAAGGGTCTAGGCCCGAAACGTCAGCCTTCCTGCTCCTCTGATGCTGCTTGGCCTGCTGTGTTCATCCAACTCTATACCTTGTTATCTCAAATGGTTTTCTGATTTTAGAAGACGTAAAAACTGAATAAACAGCCCCATCTTCAAAGATAGGGGGAGCCCAGCACAGCCATGCTAAAGACGAAGCTGAAACATTTTGCATCCATCATCAGCCAGAAGTGCTGAGTAAATGATCCATCTCTGCCTCATCACGAGGCCCTGAGCATCACTGATGCTTGTTTCAGCAAATCTGGTTCACTCCTCATGCTAACAAGAAACAATTGAAAATGCCCTGACAACATTCTGGCTGTTGTACTGAAGAATTTTGCTCCAGAGCCAAGCTGTTCCAGTACAGCTACAACACTGGCAGTTATCTGAAATTACCCAGGTATGACTTGTCCCAAAAAACACAGTGAAACCAATGTCACTTGTCAGTAATCAGCACTGTGAAAGAAGGAGTCATCGACAGCGCTATCAAACAGTACTTACAAAGGAATAACCTGCTCACTGATGCAAGACCACTTGGCTCCTGACCTTATTATAGTCTTGGTTCAAACTTGGATAGAAGTGCCGGACTTCAGAGGTGAGATAGGCTGCCTTGATGTCAAGCACAGTCATCGACAGGATACAACATCAAAGAGCCCAGTAAAACTAGAATCTTAATTGTGTGAGGCTAGGAACTGGGGTAGAATCTAGTACATAAATCATTGCCAGTTCTAGGGTTTTGAATTTTGAGTGTTCAAGTGGCGCTTGGCTGTACGACTCCTTTGTGAAATTCTGTCTGGAGTAATAATTTTAGTCCTTAGTGCATCAGGAAAGATGTATTAGCCTTGGAAGGAAAGTAGTATAGATTCACCAGAGTAATGCCAAGCCTCAAAACTATTAAAATCACATTGTATTCTATAGGATATGCAACGCAGATGTAGGCCACTTGACCCAACCAGTCCAGGCCAATGTTTATACTCCACTTAAGCCTTCTCCCAATTTTCCTCATCTAAACCTATCATTGTAACCCTGTTTTTCTTCTCCCTCTTATCTGTTTTCCTCTTAAATATGTCTGTTATTCACTTCAAATATTCCTTGAGGTAGTGGTTTCCACATTCTCACCACTCCGGGTGAAAAGGTCTGTTCTGAATTCCCTATTGGATTACTTAGTGGCTGTCTTTTTTTTCGATGTCATCTAGTTATGCTCTTCCCATCAAGGGGAAACATTTTCAGTTTTAAAGATCTTTACAAGGTTGTGTCTCATCTCTTTTTTTTTCAAGAAAAGAGTTTCAATCTATTCATCCCTACCTGAAGTGTACACGTTCACGTTTCTGATATCATCCTTGCACAACTTCTCTGCACCCACTCTTGTGTCTCTATATCCTTTCTACAATATAATGATCAGAACTGCAAGGACTACTCTAACCAAGGTTCGACACAGGTTCAGCTTAATTTCACTACTTTGCAGTCTATCCCCAATAAAGCCAAGTTTTTTTTATCCTCTGTGTCCTAGTCAGGCACAACTTTTAGCAATTTGTGTATTTGTATACCAAAATCCCTTTGTTTCTCCATCCCAACTGTACTTGCCCTTACATGCAACAAGTCACCTTCATAACTTCCTCCTATTTTGTACTATGGGTGTGATTTTCCATTTTTGTGACTGTGAGGGGCTGGATGCATTAAGCGGCAACAAACATCTTCATTGCCGAGATAACTCGAGCCTTTCACAAAGCCAACCTGCTTGTTATGACCTAACAGGTAGAGCTTAGATGAGTTTCTTAACCTGTAGCAGGCTCAACACTGATGTCCCAGGTTGCTATAAGCAGCTGGCAGCTTCCAAGTCGCCTTTTTTTCTTTAATCTTTAAATGCACTTGTCTCACTACTCCTCATTCAATGTCATGTCTACCTGTTCTATCTCTTTGGTAAATAATGAAGTGATACTTAAACATTTCTGTCCTCTCTCTCTTCTTTGCTCCCGTTGTATTATCCTGTTGCTCCCGAAATGGTTCTGTTCCTATCCTAATCATTCCCCTTTATTTGTTGTGCTTAAAAAAAAAAGCTTATTGTTCTGTCATATGTCACACAGGATGGTTACTTGTACGTTGTTTGTATTCCCTTTAGACAGTACAATTGTT